TATCCAACACTATTTGCTCCACTAGCATTCCCCATCTCTGCAGATTTTTGATAATAAATGAATGCCTTATGTTCATCTTTCTCAACTCCAATTCCATAACGATAACAATATTCAACCTTATTCATTCCTATATCATTTCCCACTTCAGATAATTTCAAATAATAATCAAATGCTTTCTTCTCATCTTTAGTAGTACCTAATTCATATTCGTAACAAATTCCAAGCTTATATAAACCATCAGAATCACCACGCTCTGCAAGTTTTGAATACCATTCAAATGCTTTTTTTAGGTCATCGACAGTTGCTCGACTATTTTGATAATGCTCATATGTGACATTTTTAAGCGTTTGGCCAAATAAATTATATGTGACTGTCTTTTCTCCTATATCCACTTTGAAATTATTTTTATCACAAGGATAAATAATGCATACGTACAAGCTTAATTGAGTTAGTTTTAGAATTTCTTCATTTAAGTTTATCCCTGTCATTTTTAAATAAAGAACACATTCTGCCCATTTTAATATTTTAATGCTCGGTACTGGAGGATTGTTAAGTGGTGGATCATACGAAGAAACAAGTAAAACAATATCATTCTCAGTCATGATATATGGTAAAGAAATATAAACCGAGTCTGTTTTTGAGTAAATTGGTACTTTATGTAAAACGATATTTGTTTTTAGATGTTGTGAACTAAAAGCTCCCAATATTTCAGGTTTTCCTACAATTAGCCATGCAACATGACTAAAATGAATAGAACAAAAAAAATATCAATAATTTTAAGCTTTATATATCCTGCAATTTTTTTCCATTATAAAGAAGGTATAATATAAATTAAACTAGAATAATAAGATTATACTCACAGTTTTTTTACACGCATTGCTGTTTCTTGATTAAGAATAATGAATGCAGAAAAACCATCATAGTTAAATAGATCAAATCTTACAATTCCGCCTTCTAATTTCTTATTATCATCATCAATAACATGCCCAAAAACCTGAAAACAATCATCGTTTAAATGTATTTTAAAATTGACGCGGATGTGTGTTTCAGTGAGATCTTCTTTAATCATATCAACTGTTGTAAGACCTGTTAATAAGATTCGAACATTTAATCTATTTTCCAAAATTATTTCTATTTGACGTTGTAATTCATCATCTAAAATTTTGTATAGTGGAGAAATCTGATCCATTCTAATGTCATCTAATAGGTTATGGTCATTTTTATACTCAATAAGCCAATCATAAATTTGACTTTGTTTTATTATTTTTCCGTTTGATTCTGTTA